TTACAGCAGCAGTAGCAATTGGAGTCATGCAGCTACAAGCCAAGGACTACTGGGAGCCCTAAGTTATCAGAGGAAAAAAAGACTCCCCTACTCAAGCCTTTAGTGGGCTGATTCAGACTTCTACCCTCTAGTATTGGGGGAGAAGATATTTCCAACCACTTTTGGAAACCAGTTTGTAGCACCTTCTGGTGGCAACAGCAGGAGAGAACTCCCACACATTTAAATATGGATTCATATTAATCTCCCCAAAGATGGAGGAATCCATCACGTTAGGGATGGCGAGAGTGGAGAGCCCTGGGTCACCTCTCCTTTCATTAGCTGAGGCTCTACACCTGGCAGCGGACTCACATAATCAGACTCAAAGCCCTTTGACTTCCTCTTGGTTGCTTGCTATCTGAGTAACATTTCAACTTCATTCTACCCTGTTCTGTCCAGTTTACTCAGCTTGCCCAGCCCATCCAGCGGGGGAGGTTAACAAGGAGCTAGAAACACAGTACATCTTAGTCACTTTCTCATCATGGGGACAAAGTACCCAATGCTCATAGCTTAAAGGAAGAAAGGTTTATTTTGCCTCATATTTTCAGTCCACGGTTGGCTGGCTCCAAGGTAGAAATGGCACAGTGGGAGGGTCTGGCAGAGGACAGCTGCTCAACCTAGGGCAGCAGGACGCAGCGAGAGAAGGGAGGAGCCAGCGACCAGAACACACCCTTCCAGGTCACATCCTCAGTAACTCCCCTCCAACCCAGCCCACCTCCTGACAGCACATCCAGCTATGAACTCATCAATGAATGAATCCACTGGTAAAAAGGGCCCTCCCATGATCCCGTCAACTTCCACACACATGAGACTTTCAGGGCACACTTTGATCTAAACCACAACACGGCGAGAAACTCAGAGAGAAGCGGGCCTCTTGCTACCTGGGCCTCCTTTAGATTAACGATCATCTGTGGGAAGATGACATTCCAAAAAATATCATACAGTGCTATTATGGGCAGAATTGAAACTCCTTTCCCATCACCTGAGTTTACACACTGAGGTCCTAATGCCCGGTATTGCAGAAAGCAAGCGTATTTGAAGACAGCATCCTGGTAATTCGGTTCAAGTGAGATCCTAATACCACATGGCTGGTGTCCTTATTAAGAAAAAAAAAAAGGAGACTGAGACACAGACATCTAGGGGGTCGATCACATGAAGACACAGGGAGAAGACGGCATCTGCAGACCAAGAAGAGGGATGTCAGAAAAACACCCCTGCTGACAGCTTGATCTCAGACTCCCATCCTACAGAGTTGTGAGAGGACAAATTTCTCCTGCTTAGGCCTGCCGGTGTGTGGGGTTTTGTTATGGCAGCCTGAGCAAATGCATGCTGTATATGCCAAATTGCCTCTAGCCCGAGCCATATAAAAACAAACTCTGAAATGACTGCCTAGCTCAGAAAATTGGGACGACTTTTTTTAAGAAAAGAAAAAAGACAAGGGAATGGGGAAATGGCTATTTGAATGCTAAGACAAATATAACAGTCTCCAAAAGCAAAAACTCTATCAAATGCATCTGCCTGGCATCAGCCCAGTGAGCCAGACACAAGTCTCACGCTGCCTGGACCTATCCCTGTTCAGAGTACAGTAGCTTCTCACTTTATTGAACATCCATAATGCTAAAGAGCTCCTGGCAATTATTAGTATTATTATCGAGTCCTTTACTCTTCATGCACAGTATTTGGCCTGGCCATTTCAATACCTACTCTGCTTCATTCCCACCCTTTCACTGAAGAAATCCGGGTTACAGGCCCCAACGCAGAAAGGAGGGAGCAAGGCAACCTTCTGTGTGGTCTGAAGAGGGCGCCAGTGAGGGAGAAGGAAAAAAAAAAGTCCTGCTCCACTGAATGGGGACTGGTGAGGCAGAGAAGCCCAAGACTTACAGCAGACTGGAGTCGTGGAGCTTTCTAGAGCGTACAGCCCTTTGCCTTCCCAAAGCAGACGTATCCACACACATAGACCCCTGGCCTAATTTCCAGAATGTACTGGCCAAGGTAATTGTCGGCAGACACGTACATATAAAGTGTTCGGCCGCTTCCTGTGTAATAGTGGAGGAGTGGAATTGGTCTACAGGACTATCAGTGATGTAACATCGTGGTCAACAGTAACAGGGTGGGCTGAGCATAATCCCAGCTGGCCTGCGTCCCGGCACACTGGGGAAGCTAAGGCAGGAAGATCACAAATTTGAGCCCAGCTTGGGCAACTTAGTGACTTCACGAGACCCTGTTTCAAAACTTAAAAATTTTAGAAAGGGCTGGAGATATAACTCAGCACAAAAGCCCGGGTCTGGTTTCGATCTCAATCACCACACGTATGTGCACGCACACACAGACACACACACACGCACACACAAAGGAGGTAGATGATCTAAGAATGCTCCATACAAACACAAAAAATGTATTTTTAAGTGCAAAACTGCAAAGTATAAAACAATGGGTCCAATAAGGATGCTTAAACATCATATTTCTAAAAGGATACACAAGAAACTAGACACGTTTATGGCCAAGATGGGACTAAACCATAAGGGATTTAAAGTTGGAAGAAAAATTACTTTTTCAGTCTTTGTTGTTGTTGTTGTTGTTATTGCTTTTGTACCGGGGATCGAACTCGGGACCTTGTGCTTGCAAGGCAGGTGGTAGCACCACTGAGCTAAACGCCCGGCCCTACTTTCTGTTTTGAATCATTATTATGTTTGAATTAAAAGAAAGCTGGTTGGTATGGATAAGGAGGAGTGAGTGAGAGGGATAGAAAAAGAGACTGATAGTTTTAAAAGAACTTCTGACCTAGCTAAATCCCCAAATATCCCCAGCCTTGAAAATAGCTGATATCGTAAAACATTTGGCACAAAACATAAATAGGAAAGAATCTCATAAACGCTTTTCCCAGCTCAGCTGCTGGTACCACTCAGGGCAAATGTACTGCCCTCCCACCGTGCAGCTTTTCCACCTTTGCCTCTTGCTGAGCTAATTATGGGACATGATAACAGCCACACCAATATTATTTTTTAAAGGCTGATGTTTCTCACTAAATACCTATTAAACCAATCTCCTTGCTCCAGTGACAGCAAGCTTAAGGGCAAATCCAGATGGTACAAATAATGCATATTCAGGCTGGACCTGCATGAGGCCAGTCACCAAATACCCATTATCAGTTTGAGAGTCCTCAGATGCCTGACACCCACAGGTGTGTCCAGGTGAGATGGGAGGATGGCTGGGCACTCCCGAGCTCGGCAAGCCATCTTCTCTCTCCCTGGGAGCTGAGATTGCCTCTGTATCTGAGCAGTTAGCAACAGCTAAGAGGGTTGCTTGGTAACCTGGTAACTGAGTGCACCCGGTGTACAAGAGGGCGGGGACTGCAGCTCCCTCCCAAGCTCTCCCCTTACCACTTAACCCCATGTTGACCAAAAAGACCCAGCAATCCCCAGACCCACCTGCAGAGCCAGCTCCCGGCCCTATCCTTATCCCTAGAAAAGGCCCAGTGAAAGGATGACCACTTTCTACCTTTTTTGATTGACAGGCACTGAATCTTTTCCCCATCTCCACTTTGGTGGCTTTAAAGGTAAACTGGGTAGAATAAAGTCTGGCCAACTCTGTCATCCAACAGAAGTCTCGGGATCAGAATTGCAAAGTCTTCAAAAGATCACATGAGACCGAACAGTACTGCTAGTGGAATCCACTGAACGGTCCAAGCGTCCAGGAATCAGCATAGAAAATGGCAAGATCTGTGGGAATATGGTGCCCATCCCTTGCACCCCAGAATGTCCTTGACAGCACTCTGAGGAAAGGAGCGCAGTAGTAGCTCAGCTATTCTTATTTGAACAGAAATAAGACGTGTGACTGGAGGCCGGGGGTAGTACGTGGATTTAATGCCAGTATATGGCCCACGTGGGAAATCATGGGAGGCACTGAGGATTCATGGGCATGGAGAAGATACTCGCATTCTCTGTGAGTAGTGAGCATGGGGTGGAATCTGAACACAGGTCACTCATTCGGGTTGTGGCTTGGCTGTAACTCTCCCCAAGGACTGGAGATGAGCTCAGCCTAAAGACAGCAAATACCCCAAGTTAAAATGTCAATGTGGGAACAGAAAAGCGCACAGTGTCCCCTTCGATCACTTCTGTGAAGATGGTGACCAGTCACCAACTTGTTCTCTCAAAGAGGACACCAAGTAAGCAGGAAGAAGTCTGCTCACACGGACGTCTGCATGGTTTCTATATCTAAAGGCTTCCTCTACAGAAGTGGGAGAACAAGGGGACATCAAACTATTATTTCCTACATACACTTGAGGGCAAGATAGACAGGTGATTCTACTGATGTTACCCAAATGTCCTCAGTGACAGTGCCATGGGGCAAGGAGAGGAGGAGCCTGAGTTATCCCCTGAGCCAGGGGACGACACATTCCATGACATCAGCAACTTCTCAAAGGGCAGCAGCCCCATTGGCATCTGTCCCACTGAGACCAAGAAACTGTTACCTGATTCTTTCCCCAGAGACGTGCTTCCTCTATCTCAAGAGAGAAGGCATGACTCAGCTGTCGAGGTCTTTAGTTTTCCAGCCCCCAAAAGAATCCAGTGACAGACCCCTCCACAGTCTCCCAGACAAATCGAAAGGATGAGAATCACATAAATTTAAAAAGAGCATGAAGAGCTCATCAGAGAGAAGATGGAGAGATAAATGCCCACACTCTATGCCAGACTGGCTTCATCTCCATCAAAGTGACCCTGTCCACCTATCTAACTTGGAAAGAGGATCAGAAAGTGTCATTACTGCCTATACACTAAGAAGGCATTTTCTAAAGCAGGTGAGAAACAAAAGCACCCAGCCAGAGCACTGGTTTAGTTCTAGGCAGCAGTGGGTGAGCAAGCAGGAGGGGCAGACAGAGCACCTGCCATCTGCCCCATCCTTCTCCTGCCCACCCCAAGCGTGCAGTGTCTGGCTCAGCCCAGCATCTGTGGCAGGGAGCTTGCCTGAAAGCTGCCCAGCGCTACCTATCCGGATGGAGAGCTCGCTCTCGGGGAACAGCAGAACTGGGCCCTCGGAATCTGACTTCTTCTTCGTCAACGTGGAGTCTAAGTTCAGTGCCAGGGCCATCTGGGGGTCTTCCGCTGCACCCTGAAACAAGAAGCAGGAGTGTCACTGAAGCACCTCCACTCCACTCAGCCCCCAGATCCCTCTGGCCCGCTGGTGCCTGAGGCCACTGGCCCTATGTCTGCCAAGAACGCCAAGGCTGAGCTGAGCCCTGGGCCGACCTGGCTTTCAGGCCAGGACAACCAGGAAGATGACAAGTCTTGGAGGTAGAAGATTTTCAGGGTTTCCAAAAGTAAGATCTGAGGAGTTGGCATGAATCCTAAAAAATGGGAAAACACATCCTGGAGAAGATTGGGCTCTGCACAGCAAATCCTTCTACACACTCATCACTGCTGGGTAACTGGCACGATGGACTTAGCTCTTGATCTATCCAAAGATACCCATGTGGCTGGGTCATGCGGATGGCAGCCCAAGGGCAGGATGCAAGGTCAATGTGCTCAGGTAGCTGCCATCTTCGTGCTCCTCATGAGATCAAAGGAGGAGGAGACTCAAATAGAGTTGTAAAGAACACACACACACACACACACACACACACACACACACACACACATCCAGATCACCTTACTGTAACCAGGTCACCCTTGCAGGCTGTCATAACTAGTTAATTCCACTGAATTACATTACCTAAGAGAAGCATTTATCCCAAGTATTTATTTAATAAGTATTTATCGACCACTGACTTTGTGGGTACTTGAAGAACAAGGCCAAGGCCCAGCTCTTCGGAGTCCATTCCAGTTAGGCACAGTGGGCCATGAGCTTCTCTCCCAAAGACACTGGGGGCCGGCCCTGCCCTGCAGACCACTAAAAGCCTACAGGGTATTAATGGGAGCAAGGCAGGCAGGGACTCCACCAACTACACAAGCACCTCCATGGTCCTCCAGTGACCTCAAAAGAGCAGATGGTTTGCATCATCTCGATGGACAAATGACAGCAGATACTTCTTAAAAACCAGGAGTCATGATCTACCCCAAGGAGTAGGAGAAAATACCATAAACTAAGTGGCTTATCCACAACAGAAATTGAAGCTGGGACACCAGCAGAACTCACGTTTGGTAAGGGTTGCTTTCCGATTCACAGCTAGCACCTCTGGCTGTGTCCTTACATGGCGGAAGGGGCAAAGGGTCTCAAGTATCTTCTACTAGGGCACTGATCTTACTCAGTGAGGACTGTGCCCCCATGACTCAACAACCCTCCAAAGGTCCCACATCCTAAAGCCACCTTAGAGGTCAGCATTTCAACAGGTGTTTGAAGGGATACAAACACAGACTGTAGCACTGGGGAAAAAATAGCTACAAACAAATAGAGGTTCCCATTTGAAATATGTGACACTAATAGGAGAGAGAAGGCTTATAATCAAATCACAGAAATGCAACCATCTATAAGAAAATACAAAAACTGTTTTCTTGGGTTTCTTTCAGGAAGGAATTTCAGAACAAGTATGCCAGGCTGTGTCTCTCTCACACACACACACACACACACACACACACACGCACACGCACACAAATATAACATGATCCATGTGCATACCATATATATTCAGTATTACATACCACACAGACACATATATACACACACACATAGGTACCCACACCTACACCACACACACACACAACTATACACATATCCCTTCTTGTTTTCTTAGGGTCCTGCATGCACCTGTGCCCCCTCCCACCTGCACCCACCACTGCCACGTGCTGATAACCAAGGATAAGAAAGAGAATCTAATGATTCAGAGACCTTATTTCATTACTTCTTGACAACTACAGTGGTACCTCGGTTTACGAACATGATTTGTATTACAATGTGGGAGAAGATCGCCGCATTTGTGTTTGTGTAGGGAAGATGGCTGTGGCCGTGTTTCTCCCACCCAATGTGGAGTTTGTGAACAGAAGCAAAATTTTGCCAAATGCTTTTGTTTGGGAACCAAATTGTTTGCAAACAAAAATCATTTATGAACTGGGGTATCACTGTGAATGCTAGCGATGGAGACATGAGCCCTTCCTCTTGTCTTCTTGCTGGTTGATAGCTCTGATATTGTCCCAACCCTTTAGTCTCACATCCTCTCAGTGCACTTTAATAAGGGCACCAATACTTCATTTCACCCTCATTAAAAAGGAAGAAAGCAGCCCCCTGCCTTGTCTGAGGCCACCCACCCCACCCTTGAGTCCTCTGTAGAAGCCGGGGCTTCATTCTTCTGCCCCCCCGGTTGGGGGGGGCAGCCACCACTCTGTGTCATGGTCAAGGCCAGCACCACAGATGGACAGAAGCCTGGGCACAGAAGAGCTCCGAGCAAGCCAGTCTCCCCCTGCAGAATCCCCACCGGCCACCCCTGGGTGACAGCTGGTGTCTGTGATGTGCCACAGGCCACAGAGCCGAGGCTCCTTGTTTGTTTATATCCTCTAATTATTTCTCATTCTATGGCTCCCGTTGACATCCAAGGAGTGCCTGCACCATAGAAGACTCTGAATATGTGTCCACTGACTTCCTTCCTTTGTCCTCCTTCCTCTTCTAATGTGACTGATGCATAACAGGCAGGAAGATGTGGAAAGGGAGCCGCTTCAGTACAGGAGAAATGCACAGCCATCGTAGGTATCAAGCTGCACCTGCATATTCATTTGGAGTCTATTCTGTAAGATGTAGCTTGCAGGGATCCTGGTTTTAATTTTGGGCAGTGGTTTTCAATCAGCTGGGTATTCTGCACCCCTCCCCTAGACATGTGGCATTGTTAGATGTCACGACAGGCTTGGGTGGTCCTGCTGGTGTCTCTCGTAGATACAGATGCAGGACGCTGCTCAGCACCCCACAATGCGTAGGACAGACCTGTGGCAGAGCACAGCCAGGCTAAATACTAACAACGCCAAGGCTGGGAAAACCCACTTTAGAAAGATTCAGGATGTGCAGGACCCCAACCCCCTGCCCCCGTGTTATTACGGCGTAATGCTGGAAGCTCACAGACTCCTGTCACTATTGTGACACTTTCAGAAGACAGCCTGCCTGCTCTCGTGTATTTAGTAAATTTTTAATTAAGCATCAACTGACTGTCAGAGCTGTTCCAGGTCCTGGTGGTACAAAAGAGCCAAGTCCTATATCCTCATGAAGTTTTCCTTAGAGGGAAAGAGGCCATAATCAACCAAACCTAATAAGCTAGACGACAATGGACTAAAAAAATAATAATAAGACGTTCAGGTAATGACACCATTAAGAAAAAAATAAGTCAAATTTATAGTCTCTAGCCATCTTCACACAGTAGCTTTGTGCCAGGAGACACCAGCGTTTCACACAAGCAAACCCACGATTAAATGCAGAGATTGTGGGTCCCTTGGATTGAGATGCAGAGTGTGGCCTCTCTGGGAAGGTGGTGTTTGAGCAAAAACCTGAAAATCAGGGAGAGTAAACATCGACATCTCCTTCTCCTCTGGGTCTTTCTGCCACTTAATATCTGAGGGTTGCGCTGATTTCTATCAGTGTTTTGGGTGGGACGGGGGAAGGGGACTGAGGAAATCCCACCTTAACTTCACTTAAAAGTTGCCCTTTTAAAAGCCAGCCAGCGATGCAGGGCCCTGCATGCACCTGTGCCCCCTCCCACTTGCACCCACCACTGACACATGCTCCCTGGAACACCCAGCCCTCAGAGGGACAGGGGCCTCGTGTTTACAGAGGCAGCAGGCACAACAGCTGAGGCGTGGAGTCTGCCGCCCCTTCAGCAGATGGGTGGATGAAGAAAATGTGTGTGTACCCAAAGGAGTATTATTCAGCCGAAAAGAAGAATGAATTCCTGACACCTCCAGAACACTGGGTAAAACTGTGTTAAGCTACAAAAGCCAGATGCAGAAAGACAAGTACCACATGCTCTCTGTCATATGTTGAAACTAAGAGAAAAGTCGATCTGGAAGTAGAATCATGATTACTAGGAATTAAGAAGGTGTGCGGGGCCAGGGATTTAGCTCAGTGGTTCTGGTGCCTGCCTCGCAAGGACCCAAGTTCGATCATGGGTATGAGGAAGAAGAAGAAGAAGGAGAAGGAGGAGGGAGAAGGGGGAGGGGAAGGAGATGGAGGAGGAGGAGGAGGAGGAAGAGAAGAAGGAGAAGGAGGCACGCAGCAGGCAGTAGAAAGGGAAGAATGTATCGAACCAGTGTGCACTGTGTGCGTGAGTGGAGACATCACACTGAACCCCATTAATTCATATGTGTTAATTTTTAAAATTAACACCAGGACTGGATGTGCAATGCAAGCGCTGCAGAAACATCTCTGACTGGCCTGGGGATTTAGCTCAGTGGTACCACGCCTGCCTCACAAGCACAAGGTCCTGAGTTTGATCCCTGGTACCAAAACAAACAAACAAACAAACAAAAGCATCCCTAAGGGATGCAGGAGAGAGCACCTCCTATATCCTCACACCTGGCCATACCCTCTACCTGCCTTGACCTCAGCCACCTGCCTTCTGAGGCTCTTTTCAAACTCCCTGCTGGGCTTCCCCAAATTCCTCACCCTCTACTCTCAAACCCTGGTGAGCGAAACAGAAATGCGGCCCACTGACAACAAGGGCAGCCCCACTGGGAGATGCCAACCTGCTTTGGTGCCTTCATCAGAGTACCGATGGCAAAGGGGGAAGTCAGGAGGCATCTGCTGGACAAAGGTGGACCCGGGCCGGATGGGCTAACACCACAGCTCTTCCCAGGAGACCCGTATGCTCGCTGGCACCTACACAGCAGGCAGAGGGGTGCGGAAGCTCTTTACCTTCAGCAAACACAGCATCAGCCTGTGCGGGAGGGAAGAGCATCCCAGGGGGAAGAGTCCTTTCTTACATTCTACTTCTCTTGACTTCCTACTCTTGCCGATATTGCTCATTAAAAAAAAAAAAAAATGCAATGTTTCTCTATTCACAGGACCTCACTCAATCCTGGCAGCCAATAAGGTGGATCCGTGTAATCACCTTCCAGAGTAAATGTGACCGGTACCAGCAGTCCCTGACTTACCGTCACAGCCCTGAGGGTCTAATGAGTCTTCCCCATCCTGCCACAGTG